AAAAAACACAGAAGTAAATCTGGCATCCCATATGAGCACCAGTTCGAGGACCAGTTGTTCCATGTCCAGTGCAGCTCCTTGCTACTGCACCTGAGAAAGCAGCAGAAGATGGCTCAAGTACTGGGCCCCTGAAACCTACATGGAAGAACCAGGTGGAGTTCCAGGTTCCCGACTTTGGCCTGGCCTAGCCCCAGCCACTGTAGCCATTTGGGGAGTGAACCAGCAGATGGAAGATCTGTCTGTCTGTCTCTCCTTCTCTGTCTATAACACTGCCTTTCAAGTAAATAAATAAATCTTTGAAAAAAAGAAAACTGTGAAAATGAATCTTGTCTGTAAGGTTTAGACCTGCTATTCTGAGCTTCCAATGCTTGACGCAAGCTGCCTAAGAAAAATGGCAAGGGGTAGCTGGCTGGCAAGGTTACTGGTTATTGAAATTGTTATGGCTACTAGTCCCAAAAACATCCCCAAATAATCCTAAAGCTTTATCCAGTATTTCTACTAAATATGCAAATAAATTTTTCTAATTATTCAATATTAAGTAGTATGCTCTATTATTGATCTCCATAGGGAAAAACATATTATATAACTGCAAAAGAAAAGCATAATTACCAATCTGTTTAAGAAAAATTAAATAAAAAGTATGTATAGGTATTGCCAAGAATCTCTTCCAATATAGAACTAGTAGACATAAGACTATTTGTGAACTCTAAGCTCATTAAAAATTAATTATTTAGAATCACATATTCACAGTTAAAATTAGTTGGCTTACCGTGATCTATAAGAATTTTCTGATAGCATTTACATTTGGCCATAATATTTTTGTAATACTCTTAACTGCATTTATTTTAAGATTTCACTTGCATATGCATATTCATGGGATTATGCAGAATAAAAAGCAAACAACAAACCACAGCTTGGGGAATTCATTCTCTGCAACTTGTTTGGATTTTCTATTTTTCTGGGCCAGTTTGTTGAAAACAGATTAATAAAAGGATGTGGGTGTGTGTGTGAAGGAAAAACATAAATATCTCCTGGATGAATTCTTTATGTTTCTAACTTTTCCACAATTAATGACTATAAATTCTGGACAAACTAAAAAAATGCAAAACATTAGAAGTAGTCCAAACCATATCAATGAAAAAGAATGAACTAATAATATATGCAACAACATGGTTGAATCTCAAAACTATTATGTTGAAGAAAAAATCTTAGAAAGAAAAGCATATATGATTCCTTTCATTTGAAATTCTAGAAGGGACAAATATCTCTGGTAGGAGGGGAAAAGCAGGGGTTGTCTCTGGTTACTGTTGTAGGCAACTGACTTTGATGGGGGCATGAGGAATTTCTGGACATCTGATGGTAATTTTTAATATTTTAAGAGGGGTTTAAGCTACACTGGCGAATGTATTTGTCAAAACTTAGTAACAGCAAAGATTTGAGCCCTCTGTAATATGCAAATCTATATAATAAGAATCTAAAGTAAACAAATACTGGACTCTAGTTAATAATACATATGCTAGGGGGCCGGCACTGTGGTGCAGTGGGTTAATGCCCTGGCCTGAAGCGCCGGCATCCCCATATGGGCACCGGTTCGAGTCCCGGCTGCTCCTCTTCCAATCCAACTCTCTGCTATGGCCTGGGAAAGCAGTAGAAGATGGCCCAAGTCCTTGGGCCCCTGCACCCGTGTTGGAGACCTGGAAGAAGCTCCTGGCTCCTGGCTTTGGAAAGGTGCAGCTCCAGCCATTGCAGCCATTTGGGGAGTAAATCAATGGATGGAAGACCGCCCTCTCTCTCTCTCTTTCTCCTTCTCTCTCTCTCTCTCTCTCTCTCTCTGCCTCTCCTTTCTCTGTATAACTCTGACTTTCAAATAAATAAAAATAAAAATCTTTTAAAAAAATACACATGCTACATATTTAGGAGTGAGCGTATACTGATGACTACAACTTTTTTTTAAAGATTTATTTATTTATTTATTTGAAAGGCAGAGTTAGAGAGAGGCAGAGGCAGAGAAAGAGAGGTCTTCCATCCATTGGTTCACTCCCCAATGTAGCTGCGCCAATGCAAAACCATGAGCCAGGAGCCTCCTCTGGGTCTCCCATGCAGGTGCAGGAGCCCAAGGATTTGGGCCATCTTCCACTGCTTTCCCAGGCCATAGCAGAGAGCTGGATCAGAAGTAGAGGAGCCGGGACTCAAACCAGCACCCATACGGGATGCCGGCACTGCAGATGCTGGCTTTACCTGCTATGCCACAGCACCAGCCCCTCCAACTTGTTTTGAGATACATGAAAAATAAGATGAGCATTGTGGTACAGTTGGTTAAGCCAACACTTGTGATACCAGTGTCCCATATCGAGTCCTGCCTCCTCTTCTGATCCAGCTTCTACTATGGTGCACCCTGGGAGGCAACAGACAATGGTAAAGAACTTGAATGCCTACCACCTTTGTGGGAGACCCAGATGAAGTTCCTGGCTCCTGGCTTGATCCTGGCTCAGCCTCAGCTGTTGTAAGCATTTGAGGAGTAAACCAGCACATGGGAAGACCTCTCTCTCTCTCTCTCTCTCTTTCTCTCTGCCTTTCAAACAAGTACATAAATAAACCTTTAAAAAAGATGGAATAAAAAGGGCCAGTGCTGTGGCATAGTAGGTTAATCCTCTGCCTGCAGCATCCGCATCCCATATGGGCACGGTTCTAGTCCCGGATGCTCCACTTTGATCCAGCTCTCTGCTATGGCCTAGGAAAACAGTGGAAGATGGCCCAAGTGCTTAGGCCCCTGCACCCACGTGGGAGACCCAGAAGAAATTCCCGGCTCCTGGCTTCAAACTGGCCCAGCTCTGGCTGTTATGGCCATTTGAAGAGTGAATTACTCTTTTTTAAATAATGAAAAAGAAATTAATATCAAAATACAGGTATGGACATATGACTATTGACTGTAAAATTCAACTTTAGAAAATTTTCAAAATGTTAGAGAAAGATGTTAGAGAAAAAATATTATACTAGATCAATTCAGAAAAAGTCATATGAGACTAACATCATTTTATTCTTTATTTTAATAGGATTACTATCCGACTGGCAAATTAAAGACAGAAATACTTAGACCTGATAAATTTTTATCTTTCTTCATATTCTGGTCAAGACAAAAAAAGCAGGCTGCATAAATAATAATAATAATAGTACTATTTGTTGTGTCCAACACTCTAACTAGATGCTTTCCCAACATTTTACAGGTATTAACTATTTGATCTCCACAACAACCTTATGAGATATATACTATTATTATCTACATTTTACAGATAGGAAACTGAAGTATAGATACATTAAGTAAATCCAGAAGTTAGAATCCAGGGTCTGGGTCCAGAACCCCTGTTTTTAGCTCCTGTCCATAGTTCCACTGGTTGACTTGTAATTGACATAATGTAAGATACGACACTCTTCTCAAGTCTGTGGATGACATGAAGCTGAGAGCAACGGCAAATACATTATTTAACAGATTTTTTATGTAAAAGATTAAAGGGAGATAAACAGAATAAATGTAATAAAATAAAATTCTGTAGGAATAAAATAAAGCTCCTGCAACTGAGTCCAAGGAGCTACCTTTAGTGACTGTACCAGTACACAGCAGGTATTTGATAAGAATCTGTCAAATGAATATATGACTGAATGTTAGGGCACGCAGAACACATGAAAAAGGAAGCTTTAATAAAGAAAATAAGTAACAAATATTATTTCAGATGAAACATAATTATGGTATCTAGAAGTAAATGATAGGCTATACGACTATAGGTCTCATCAGACCAATGCCAGATACACTGTGTGAACTTGTGGGAATTACACTTTAACAAGCTTCAGTTAAAGTGCAGGGCTTAAAGCTGTACTACCTGAGGTGTACTGCAAGAAACGCTGAACATTTAATGTAAAGAAATAACTCAGATGCAGGTGGGTATTTAGCCTGGTGGTTAACATTCCAGTTAGGATGTCCATATTCTACTTCAGAGTGCCAGATCCAGATTCCAGCTTCCTACCAGTGTAGTCCCAGTGGTGATTGCTCAAATAGTTGAGTTACCACCTCAAACATGGGCGACCTGGATTGAATTCCTGGCTCCTGACTATGCAAGCATTTGGGGAATGAACAAGTGGATGGGAGCATTTCTCTTTCTCTATATGTCAAATAAATAACATTTCAAAGTACTTTTTAAAAATCAAATCAACTCGGTAGCAAACTTCAAAATGTAAGGGGCTGTCATGAAAAAGAAGAATCCTATTTATTCTCAATTTCAGAATTAGGGGCAGTCCTTCGACCTTGCAGGTAAAACACCCACATTCCACACTGGATATGCCAAGGTCTCAGTCCTGGCTCCTCTCCCAGTCCCAGCTTCCCGCTAAGGTGCACCCGTTGGGGCAGCAATGATGACTAACATAGCTGAGTCCTTGCCACCAACACAGGAGACTCAGATTGTTCCTAGCTCCTGGCATATGCTCATGAGGCATAAAAAATTGAAACACAGATGTTTATTGCAGCTTCATAATACTGAAAAGAAAGTGAACAACCTCAATGTCCACTAGTATGGATAATGTCCAATAGATAACTAGGGTACAGCTATCCACTTATGCAAAAGTAACACTTACTGAGTACGTCTTTTCCAGTCACAATTGTGGGAGCTGGAAATAGAAGAAAGAGTAAGAGGTGGTGACAGACTAATTTGTAGCCACCTAAATGTTTGTGAGGGATTTTAGTAAAATAAAAACATGTTTATGATATGATCATTGAACAAAGCTAAATTTAAAATTGAGTAAAACAAAAATAAGCTAACGAACAGGTAGCTTATTTTTTAAATAATAACATGATAGTGATTGCTTTGTGGGGGTGCGAGTAAGCTTATGATTTTGTGACTTCCTTCTTTCTGTTTTTCTCGGCCTCTGAAATTTCCTAAATACAGTTTTCCATCAGAGCTATTAATCCAAATGCGTGACAGCTGCAGCCCGGCACAGCAGCACGGGTTTACCTGTTGCAATAGTAAACCGCATTATTAGGGTCCAGTTCTATGGCTTGCGTGTAACAGTCCACTGCAGCAGCATAATTCTCTTCTTTCATGTGGTTGTTGCCTAAAATGGTCAATATACACAGTGAGCGCAGTCATCAGGAAAACATAGTCTAACAAATTTTAATCACAGAAAATACAAAAATATGAAAGTCAGCTTTATAACTTTTTTCAGTCACACTGGAGTTAAATTACATATTATACAATATAGTTGTTAGTGTTATTAGAATTCAGTGTTTGAATGATTAAAAAGGCAGAATCTTAAAACATCGTCTGCATAGCAGTCTTACATAAGTAAACGCAATCATTATGACCATCTCATGAGAAAACAGTTACTTCTCACTTCTATCTCTTACTTCCTATTAGAACTGTCCTACCCCACACCTGATGCAATACCCTCCCTAATTACTATCTCAATCTTGATCTGGTTCTCCACTCCTTCCCTATCAAAACACACATCTGCTGAATAATCAGTCTCAGAACTGTGCTGTGTGTGAGCTGGCAACACAAATCATGCTAAAACTGTGTTACTAGCAGATAGCATTTTTACATTCTGTTCTACCCAGGAAGAGACTGTTGTTTTTTTTTTTTAATATTTATGTATTATTTATTTGAAAGGCAGACTTACGGAGAAAGGGCACAACAGAGAGAGAGAGGGAGAGAAGGAGGGAGGGAGGGAGGGAGGAAGGGAGAGAGGACGTTCAATCCCCAAATGGCTGCAAAGGTAGGAGCTGGGCTAGACCGAAACCAGGGGCCAGGAGCTCCTTCTGGGTCTCCCATATCGGTGCCTGGGCCCAAGCACTTGGACCATCATCCATTGCTTTCCCAGGCACATTAGCAGGGAGCTGGTTCGGAAGCGGAGCAGCTGGACTCAAACCAGTGCCCAGAGAGTGCTTTTAAGAGTAGGTTTGTGGGGTCAGCACCGTGGCATAGCAGGTAAAGCTGCTGCCTGTAGTGCCAGCATCCCATATGGACGCCGGTTCGAGTCCCAGCTGCTCCACTTCTGATCCAGCTCTCTGCTATGGCCTGGGAAAGCAGTGGAAGATGGCCCAAGTTCTTGGGCCCCTGCACCTGTGTGGGAGACCCAGAGGAAAATCCTGGCTCTTGGCTTCAGACCGGCACAGCTCCCGCCATTGCGGCCATTTGTGGAGTGAACCAGTGGAAGGAAGACCTCTCTCTCTCTCTCTGCCTCTCCTTCTCTCTCTGTAACTCTGACTTTCAAATAAATAAATAAATCTTTAAGAAAAAAGAGAAGAGTTTTGGAGAGATTAATTTGTAGGCAGACAGAATTTCAGACATGAGAGGTACTGATTTTTAGGCAGGCACCTGCACGTGCATATGGAAATGATATAGCTAGGATAATGAACCCCCAGAATAAGGGATTTCCTGTGGCTGTGTTTTGTATTCTATTAAATGTGTGGGGAGGGGGAGAGGGGGTATCCTGTGGTGCTTATAAGACCTAGTGTACAAAATTTTAGCTATCAGAACAACGGAGATCAGGAAGGAGCACTGACATCTCAAGAGCCCCAGATTCCTTCCAGAGACTCTCCTATTAGCCTGGGTTTTTTTTTTTGTTTGTTTTGTTTTGTTTTTGTTTTTTTGTTTGTTTGTCTGACAGGCAGAGTGGACAGTGAGAGAGAGAGACAGAGAGAAAGGTCTTCCTTTTGCCGTTGGTTCACCCTCCAATGGCCGCTGCGGCCGGCGCACTGTGCTGATCCGATGGCAGGAGCCAGGTGCTTCTCCTGGTCTCCCATGGGGTGCAGCGCTCAAGTACCTGGGCCATCCTCCACTGCACTCCCTGGCCACAGCAGAGAGCTGGCCTGGAAGAGGGGCAACCGGGACAGAATCCGGCGACCTGACCGGGACTAGAACCCGGTGTGCCGGCGCCGCTAGGTGGAGGATTAGCCTAGTGAGCCGCGGCACCAGCCAGCCTTGTTCTTAATAGATCATTAGCTACTTAATGAGAAGAGGGTATAAATTTGCAGGCTAGAGGAACAAAAAGATTAAAGGATAGACAGGTAGATAAAAGGATCTAAAATTAAACAAAAGGTTCTACAAATTAGGAATCAAAAATGAATACAAAGAATAAGTTAATGATTATATATTTTCTTTTGGGAGTGATAAAAACATTTCATAATTGATTTTGGTGATGACTGCAAAATTCTGTGAATATACTAGAAACCAATGAATTGCATGCTGCAAGGAGTAAATTGGGGCCAGCATGGTGGCATAGCAGGTAAAGCCGCTGCCTGCAGCTCCTGCGTCCCATATTGGCGCCAGTTTGTTTCCTGGCTGCTCCATTTCCCATCCAGCTCCCTGCTAATGGCCTGGTGAAAGCAGAAGATGGCCCAAGTGTCTGGGCCCCTGCCACCCACCTGGGAGGCCCAAATGAAGGTCCTGGCTCCTGGCCCAACCCAGGCTTTTGCCGCCATCTGGGGAGTGCATCAGCAAATGAAAGATTCTCTCTGTTTCTCCCTCTCTCTCTGTAACTCTGACTTTCAAATAAATGTTTTTTAAAAGGAGTAAACTGTATGATGTGAATTATATCTCAATAGATTTGTTTTTTTTTAAAGATTTTATTTTTTTCTTTGAGAGGTAGAATTACAGGCAGAGAGAGGGAAAGACAGAAAGTCTTCCATCCACTGGTTCACTCTCCAAATGGCTGCAACAGCTGGGGCTGGGCTGATCCGAAGCCAGGAGCCAGAGCTTTTTGCGGGTCTCCCACGCAGGCGCAGGAGCTAAAGCAATTGAGCTATCTTCCACTACTTTCCCAGGCCACAGCAGAGAGCTGAATCAGAAGAGGAGCAGCCGGGACTAGAACCAGCACCCATATGGGATACTGGCACCACAGGCAGAGGCTTAGCCCATGACGCCACAGCACTGGCCCCAAGATTTGTTTTTTTTCTAATGGAAAAAAATTTTAGATCCATTCCCCCTAAAAAAAAGATCTAAATTTAAAGCCTCTTAGCAGGCTGTGGACTGTGAGGATACCAGTTTTTTTGTTTGTTTGTTTGTTTTTTTCTTTTTATGTTTATGATTAAGAAAAAAGTTAACCAGGGGTGAATGCTGTGGTGCGGTGGGTTTAACTGTCACTTGAGATGCCTGCAGCCTATACTGGAGTACCCGGCATACAGCCTTGCTTCTTCTGCTTCGAATCCAGCTTCCTGCTAATGTTCTTGGGAGGAAGCAGATAATGACCCAAGTACTTCAGCTCCTGCCACCCACATGAGTGGCCCAGATGAAGTTCCTGGCTCCTGACTTTCGCCTGGCCCAACCCTATCTGTTACGGGCATTTGGCGAGAAAAATCACTGAATGGAAGATTCTCGTTCTCTCTCTCTCTCCCTCCCTCCCTCCCTCTCCCTATCTTTCAAAGAAATAAATCTTTTTTAAAAAAAGAAAGGCTTTAACTACATTAGCCTAGGTACTTAAATAGATTCTCATACCAATGACTTTAATTTTCTGGGTTATTGAAGTTTATTTGCTGCTATTGGACCTTCTTGTCTTGGGGTAGTATTTTATTATTATTATTATTATTACTATTATTATTATTAAAATGTCATTATATGTCTTTTTCTGAAAATCACCTCAAATACATAGATATAATATATATACCACAAATACTATATATGTATACTATAATATTATGTTACTGAGAAGTGTCAAGTTACAATACTCAACATACAAAATTTCAGGACATAAAGAAATTTGTGCAGAAAGGACATAGGTATAACACTGAAGTGTTTGAGCAGCACTTCCTGCTACATGGTACTCTCCATCACACTGCCTGCTTCAACTGCCCCAGCCCCACCAGGTATACCTATCCTTCTGTGGCCTGCCAGGGAACGACAGAGGAAGCCCTCTTAACTTCTTCCGATCTTATGGCAGCGCCTCAGAGACAAGGCACGCGAAATACTTAAAGCAATGTTCTGGCAAAGCACTAGCTGGCTGGAAGTCTTGTTTAAATCAGTCAGATGGCCAGTGCCACGGCTCACTAGGCTAATCCTCCGTCTGCAGCGCCAGCACACCGGGTTCTAGTCCCGGTCGGGGCGCCGGATTCTGTCCCGGTTGCCCCTCTTCCAGGCCAGCTCTCTGCTGTGGCCAGGGAGTGCAGTGGAGGATGGCCCAAGTGCTTGGGCCCTGCACCCCATGGGAGACCAGGAGAAGCACCTGGCTCCTGCCATCGGATCAGCGCGGTGCGCCGGCCGCAGCATGCCGGCCGCGGCGGCCATTGGAGGGTGAACCAACAGCAAAAGGAAGACCTTTCTCTCTGTCTCTCTCTCTCACTGTCCACTCTGCCTGTCAAAAAAAAAAAAAAAAAAAGAATGTTAACTTTATATGCAGCATGTCTTAGGTATGACACATCTTTGTGAAAACAAAGAATGAAAGCTTCTGTTTAAAGGCAAAAACAGTAGCATGTCATCAGTCTACCCATGTTGCCACAGTAAATGAATTCACCTTCCATGTCCTCCTAACCCTCATCATACACTTAATATTCGTTATGTAAAAACAAACTGTGCAGCACATGAAGTCACCCAAACTTCTGTCATGGAGAGAGAAAAAGTATGAGGACAAAAATAAAATTTAACCTTGCCATTTATTTGATATTATCGCTAAAACTAAACTGAGAGAGCTGTAAAAGTGAAATGGTAGTAGAAAACAGACTGCATCACTGAAGGTTTCCCATACTACAAAGATTTGGGTGTGAAAATTAGATTAAACTCTTCCCATTAGAAACAAACACATAACAAATGCACTTGTACCGGTAGAGTTTAAATCCAGTTCTTTGGGGAATATTATAACTCAATGACAACAAGGGTCTGGTTGTTGCTTTATGTTGCATATAATGTATGAAAGTCATACTATTTTAAGATTTTAAGGCACTAAGGTGATGCTATTTTAGAGTAGATAAAACACTGAAAAATGAGATCAATCTATTTGTTGGAAACATAGTACTATATAATTTAATCCTAAAATAATAACAAAGTAGTAGGAGAGAGATTCCAAGATGGCAGAATAGGGAAGGAGCTTAATTGCTCTAGTCAAGGGGAAGATAGTCTAAAAAA